GGGTCGCCATCACCTGGAAATAACTTTGTCCTTTAAACAGGGAAACGGTCGACCTGTTCCCCCTTCCCCCTCTCCCCTCGCCCACCCCTCCTCCCCTCAGCCTAGCACCCCCTCCCTTTCCCCTGCCCTTTCCCCTAGTATCCCCTAGTATCACCTTTCACATCTCCTTCCCTGCCCTTGTGTTGCTGTTCCTCCTTTCCCCTTCTTCTTCTTTTCTTCCTTCAGCATTCCCCCTTTTTCTTAAAGCCTCTCCTTTCCCCCTCCCGTTCCCCTTCCAGCCTCCTCTCTCTCCCCTCTCCCTCCCCTTCCAGCCTCCTCTCTCTCCCCTCTCCCTCCCCTTCCAACCCCCGACACAGCGTCTCCCCGTCAGCCATCGCCTGCCGGCCTCCTCCCCCTCACTTTCCATCCTCCCTCCTCTTTCCGATCCTGTCCTCTTTTCCCTCTCCTCCATCCTCTTTCCCTCTCGTCTCCTCTCCTTCCCTCTCCTCCCCTTTCTTTCCCTCTCCTTCACTCTCCTCCACCCTCTTTCCCTCTCGTCTCCTCTCCTTCCCTCTCCTCCCTCCTCTTTCCCTCTCGTCTCCTCTCCCCTTTCTTTCCCTCTCGTCTCTTCTCCCCTTTCTTTCCCTCTCGTCTCTTCTCCTTCCCTCCCTCTTTCCCTCTCGTCTCCTCTCCTCCCCTTTCTTTCCCTCTTTCCCTCTCGTCTCCTCTCCTCCTCCCTCTTTCCCTCTCGTCTCCTCCTCTCCCCTCTCTCCTCCCCTCTCGCCCCCTCGCCCCGTCCGCCCGCTCGATTCGCCTCTGTCGTCACTAATAGCCGGTGTCCGAATTTGGAAATTATACTCGAACTCCCTTTTCCGGGTCTCTTTGTGGCCTGGCTTGGAGGAAGAGAGAGAGAGAAAGAGAGAAGGAGAGAGAAAGAGAGAAGGAGAGAAGGAGAGAAGGAGAGAAGGAGAGAAGGAGAGGGAGAGGGAGAGGGAGAGGGAGAGGGAGAGAGAGAGAGAGAGAGAGAGAGAGAGAGAGAGAGAGAGAGAGAGAGAGAGAGAGAGAGAGAGAGAGAGAGAGAGAGAGAGAGAGAGAGAGAGAGAGAGAGAGAGAGAGAGAAGTAAGAGAGAGTAAGAGAGAGAAAGAGAGAGAGAGAGAGAGTAAGAGAGAGTAAGAGAGAGTAAGAGAGAGAAAGATAGAAAGAGTCTCCAATTTTAATCCTCATTCTTTCTTTCTTCTTTCAGTCTGTTAGTTTCTTGTATTCTCTCTCTCTTTTTGTGCTTTTCTCTTCTTTTTTTATTATCTTCTCTCACTCTCTCTCTCTGTCTCTCATTCTCTCTCTCTCTCTCTCTCTCTCTCTCTCTCTCTCTCTCTCTCTCTCTCTCTCTCTCTCTCTCTCTCTCTCTCTCTCACTTTTCTCTCTTTTCTCTCTCTCTTCACACATCAGGAGACCAATAGAACCATAGTACGAGCTGGAAATAGGGACGTGATCATCGAAATATATCAATTATGAATAATTGCTTCGGCGGGAGGAGGGGGGAGGCGAAGGGGGGGCGGAAAGGGGGACAGGATAAGGGGGGAGGGAGGGGGATGGGCGGTCGATAATGATCGATTGTCTTATGTAAGAAATAAACAAATGAGGTAAATAAGTAAGAGGCGATATGTTTATCTCTTACTAATAACATACACGCACATATACATGCACACAAACACGCACACACATACACAGACATACACACATACACACACGTCAATATATGTACGTGTGTGTGTATGAATATATTTTATTTAACCCATATAACTATAACTACTATATATTCAATAATTCTCAAAAAAACGATGGTTAATTTATATGATCTCAGGTCCACTGTTTTACAAAATTAAATGTATAAGTGTAAAAAAATGGGAGATTCTTCGCTGAGGTTTGGTAACAGTCATCCACACGCCATCACGCGCCGGCTGAGGTTTTCCTTTTTTACTTCATCTGGCAACGATGCACGGGCAGGATCTTGGGTTAGAGAGATACATTACAAATACATCTGGCAACGGTGCATTCCCCGAGGCGAACAGGGTGCCTGCGCACGATAAGATACGGTATTTGTAAATGTTATCAGAACCCCTTCCTTTGAGACAAGGCACGAGAATCGCTTTTCTACTCATCGCAGAAGAAGCGGACATATTGAACCCAGTCACTTTTGCTCGTGGCTGCGAAAACCTCTTAAACCTCGACCAATCATAAGATAAACATGTCCCCCTTCTTCTCCTCCTCCTCCTCCTCCTCCCCCCTCCCTCCCTCCCCTCCCACCCCCCATCTTCACTCCAGCCCTAAGAACCTCTCGACCAATCACAGATAAGGTGCGGGCTGGAGTATGATAAGGACGCCCGCGCGAGGAAAAGGGGCCGAGAAAATGGTCCTCTCGCCCCCCCCCCCCCCCCCCACACACACACACTCTCGTCTCTCTTCACGTCTTGTGGCCCTCGATAGATGGCACTCGAAACCTCCTATCGAATGTTCGAGGAG